TATATATATATATATATATATATATATATATATATATATATATATACTAAAATAAACTATTATTTACTACTTGTACTTGTATCCCTACTTTGCAGTTTTTCACTTATTGCAGGGCTTCAGGGTACGGATCTCCCGCGATAAACGAGGGACTACTGTGTAGCCTACAAACAGACAACATACATACACTAGTCCCTCGCTATTTCGCGGTTTGACATTCGTGGACTCGCTCTTTCGCAGTAAAATTAAACTAAAGGCAAAAGTAAATCAATGTTCAAATGTTTTTCTGGGGGCTTGCCTCCCAGTCCCCCCTAAATGGCATACACCACAACCGTTGCCTTTTACTTGTATTTACCAGCATTTTACTCTTTTTAAAGGCAAAAGCACCATGACTTTACACCAAGGTATAGACTTGACAGATTTATGTGAACCAAAACACCCTGTGGTTCATGAAGATCCTGTTATTTTGTGGGAAACGTGTCACAAAATAAAACATTAACCCAAACAGGCCAGAGCAAAAAGTCAGTTTGACCAAGTTTTTATAAAACAAGTTTCACATTACCTTACTTAAAATTATAACACAATAATAAATATGTCATCAAGTCATTTCCAAGCCTTAAATTCTCCTTTATTCAGTTTGCTTCTGTGGATTCTTAAGGCTTCATGACTGGGCACATCAAAAGAGTTTAAAACAAAATAACTGAACTTCAGTTGCTTCTGATCTGAGAAGGCCAGTTTAAACTCTCAACAGGTTAAATTAGTTAGATCTCTAATTTGAGAGTCAAGTCAAATAACATAAAGCTGAAGGACGTAACTGCCTTTGTACCTGAAACTATAGGGCTTTGTAAAATAAAAGGAACTTACTTTGTATCTTGTAGTCAAAGGTGAGCTCCTCTCCTGCACGGATGGCTCGTGTAGAAAATAAAGCAATTCTGGGAAGTCTCTCGTCTATGTTATCAATGAACACGTTGAATACCTGCAGGTTGGGGTTACACTGCAAAAAAAAAAAAAAAAAAGATGTTTAAACTGTAACTCTAAATATCAAACAGGTAAACAGAAAACATTTTCTATATGTACAATGAAATAAGCTGAAGTTTGCAAACTTAACAAGTTTAAGACAACAAATATAAAAACGATGTAATGTCCAGCCCTTTTCTGTTATCAAGAATTGAAGGATCTGGTTTATTGGAGCTGCCGTGTTGTATTTTTGGAATTAAAGTCTGCAGACTTCTGAACTCCATACAATTATAGTGTCACATGACCTTTACTTTAAGCATAAGAAATTACAAGTAAAAGAGGAGGGAAAATTATTATTTGAACATTAATTATTGAACCGTTAACACCTGAGAAAAAGTTATCCAAGATGCATTTATTATTTTACTAAAAGCAATGTTTCATTTGTCAACATTAAAGATGTGCATTTTAAGTAAAACACCTGTCCAACTGGTCTATTATTTGAATATTCTTCAAATATATCTTTAAAACAGAAACATGTTCTGCTAGTCTTGTCAATTTTTCTTTCCACTTTCATTGTTTCTATGGATCAATGTGAAGGGGAAAGCACGTGTTCTGTTAGTAAAGATGAGTTCACCCAGCTGTCATTGTAGTTTTTAATCTGTGATCCTAAAATAAAATCTATAGTGACAGAAGCAAGCACTGGGACGCTCCGAGTGTTAGTAGATGTTCTGTCTACAAAAGCAACCCACCTGGAAAAGCACCATTAGGAACAACTAGGTGTGTAAAATGACTGATAGTTGCAATATTCTTTGAATTTGCCTTTTGTTTTTTTTTAAACTAGATGTGTATTATATTGACACTAATACTGACAACATGGTTGGTATGAAACCCCTTTTTTTCATATTTAGCTTAACATCATGGCATGCAATCCTGACTAACTCAGTTTGATTATAATAACCCTTTTGTCATGATTTTCTTTAAAGATATTATTTGTTTTAAAATTCTTGCTTAAAACAATTAGGTAATACAAACAGTACTTTTATTAAACAAGTCTTTAATTACAAGTCATGAGCATGGGAAGGACAGTTGGCATTCACATTAAAATTGCAGAGGCTGTAAGCTGCCGTATTAAAACTAGAGCCCGACCAATATATCAGTAGGGTCGATATTTTAAGCTGATATATGCGTGTGGGGTCATACTGGTATCTCAAGGTTCAAGGATTCAAGGTTCTTTATTTGTCATTTGAGATTATGCACACAGGGTCCCAGTTACATCAAACAAAAGTATTAAAATGTAAAAGAAAAATAGTAATAAGATCTAACATATGAACTAAGAAAAATGTTAATGAATATACACTAAAAACCAACAGCATAAAAACGATACACCTAACGGCAGCACGAACATGAGTCTCTGTAAGAAGATGAGCACGAATGAACACAGCAACATGAAACAGATCAGCAGCAACATGAAACAGATCAGCAGCAAGATGATGTGATTCTTCATAGTGATTGTTCTGGTTAGAGATTCATGAGTCTAACAGCTTCAGGGTAGAAGCTGTTCCTCAGTCTAGTGGTTCTACACTTAACGCTTCTCAACCTCCTTCCTGAGGGGAGTGGGTTAAAATGTGTGCTGGGTGAGTGGGGTTCTTCATGATGCAGGTGGCCCTCTTCATCTAGAGGTGTAGATGTCTGTGATGGTGGGGAGGCTGACTCAAACAGACTTATGTGCAGCCTTTGTCACCACTCTCTGCAAAGCTTATGTGATGCTTCTGCGATGCAAAGCTATCTGCGATGATTGGCCCATTATGTGCCGATAAAAACACTTCTAATTTTCACATCTAAAATGCTGGGAACAAGCAGCATTTCTTGCAAAAGGCGTAGATGTACAATGTATCCAGCAGAGGGTGCATGCGGACTACTTTCAAGTCTTTGCCATTCACTTAAGTTTCACTTTCAGCACAGGAAACAATACTTTGTAGCATATTTTGCTGAACAGAGCACGGTAAGTTTATTGTAAGTGATCTGTAAAATTAAAAAGTCAACAATAAATTCTCGTCAATCCTCCAACACACTTGTCATTAGCTACATGTCTCTCAAGTTAGCAAGCTAACGTTTAGATAACCTAGCGTAGGCTATTACCTTGTAAAACTTTACCCAGAATGATAAATCTAATGTAGAGGTAAAATATATCAGTGTTAGTAATATTGTCTTTGTCGTCCTCAGTGAAATGCATTGTTTGAAATCTTTACTTCTCTGCAAAAAAATAATTAATAAATAATAAAAAAACCACTGCTGCGGTCAATACTAATTAAGCCTTCACTATACGTGACTTACTGTTTAAATAATGAACAGGGAATGGCGTTTCTTTATTTAATTTATATTTATGTAACACACCAGATAACTTTTATGGTGAATAGTGTAGGATAGAAAATGTGAACGCACGTTAGGAAGACTGTTTCAAGGCTTCAAGTATTAAAACAAATTTAAAAGTAGCTGTTTACTTAGATTCTTGGGGGTGGACAAAACTCAAAAATTTCCTGCCATTATATTGGTTATATTCATTAGCCTCACCCTCCCAATATTGGCAATAGCCAAAATTACCATATCGGATGGGCTCTAATTAAAACCTTCCAACCTCATGAATTATTGCATCAGCCATAAATGCATAAAGTCATGAATTTCAGTTTGGAAACACTTTTAACAGGAAAAAGGGAGCTGGCCAAAAAAAAAAATCTAAGAATCTTGCTCATTCTGAGCATAAAGCACCAGTTTCCCCCCATACAAGGAGACATGGGGGAACAGCAATACGTACACTGTGGTTGACAAAATGGGAAATGTTTCCTAGATGAGCAGCATCCACTGTGTACACATCGTCCACGTAGTCCAGGTCAAACAGGTACGTCGAGCCTTGGCAGTCATAGAGGTGACCCCTCTTCTCTGCTTCATCGTTGGTGATGATCTGAGAGGAAAATATGACATCAATTTCTTCATAGCTTTCATTACTAAAAGTTTATAACCCAGGGTTTAAGTTAGAGACAGATCAATTAAATGCCAACTAAAAATAAATAAATACTATTGGTCATGTCTATACAATCAATGAGAAAATGAAGATGCAGCAGCTGATGCTACAAGCCGACTGTAGCACACAATTTATGTTTAAGAGAATGCTCGTTTATGTATTTTTAAATGGTACAAATTTTTCTAAGAGTTGTTAAATTTACATTTATTTAAGCTAGGCAAATATTTACATTTTCTAATCTTTTCATTTAACAAAATATAACACTTAAATGGACCTGTTTTTTTGTAAATTGTTTTCGTTTATCAAGAAGCGGAGTGGTGGCGCAGAGGTTAGAGAAGGCGAGCCTGTGATCGAAAGGTCGCCAGTTCAAACCCCAGCCTGACATCAAAGCGTGGGTGGAAGAGGTGAAGCTGCAGAATATTTCCTGACTTGTCAACAATGAGATCAGATATTTTTATTAAAAGTGAACGTCGTCTCACCTCTCCGACGTACTCCATGACGAACGTGTTCTTCTTGATGTGCTGCAGAGTGCGGACCCCCCACCCTCTGCCGTTCTCTGTCTTAAAGATGCACAAGTCAAACTGGATTCCTCTCTGAACCACTCTGTTGGGACAGTCGGGCCCACAGCTGCACCGGGAGTTACACTCATATATGGGCTTTCCCGGCTGGATTTTGACCTGGCCCTTGTTGTTGTAGGCCATACGGTGATAGGAAGCTCCTGGGCAGCAGCCGTTCACAGGCTCCTCCATACAGTTTTTACATTCACAACCCACAGCCATCTCATCCAGTACAATACCTGGTCCAACTTTGTAGTTGTTAATGTAGGTGAAGTTTTTCGGAGGACCTTCAAAGTCCACTTCATTTGAAACAAAAATACGACCCGAGTGAATACTAGTTTGGTTCAAGTCGGCCTCCCATTGCTGCAAACTTTGACGTAGTTTGGCTTTCTGAACCAGGAACAAAGACATATTCTTTTCCAATCGTTTGGGGAGGGCTCGTCTCTTCTGGAGTTTTAAGATAGAATCCAGGTCTTGGTGGAATGCTTTCATCAGTTTTGGACATTTGAGGTTCCTCTTGGGTTCCCAAGAATTAACAGAGTCAGAGAAGCCTTTCCACTTTACAAAGTAGAACTCTTCAACCTGGAAAACACAACAGGGTAAATCTGGATCAGAAACTAGACATAACCTTACATGAATCACCTTGTTAGCAAAGGCAAACCCAGACAAGACCAAGAACTGTAATCAAGCTGACCATCCTTCACCTAGGACAAAAACAGCAGTCTCCCGCTGTCCCGTCACTGAGGGATTTGAATAGTGAATGTTTAGTTTTGGAGATTACTGTTTTTCTGTACTGGAATTGAACATGGAATTAAAGTAAACCTTAATGTTTTTGGTGCAAGATATTCAAGTGGGTGGGTGTTTCACTGTGTAGAAGAGTAGTTTAATTTATTGTGTGAGGCAGCTCAGCATCACGGATTCTGGTGAGTGGAGGGAGCAATTTTAAATATGACCAGGTACAACAAATATATATGGTGGTGGTCATGTTGGATTTTATAAATGTGCTATGCATTGTCATCAATGCATGTTCCCCTAAAAATGCGTCCTCAGAATTTGAATTATTGCATGAGATACACTCAGGTGGAGTAGCGGACAGCTATTTGAGCACCCAGAAAGCAATAGGGGATTAGGTCTCTTACTCATGGAGACAACATGTAGGCATGGCCGAGAATTGAACCAGTGACTTTCTGGTCCTCAGTCAGCTGCCCTACCACTACCCAGCTGCCAAGTGAAAACCCAATTTTTGAAAGTGACGTTTCTTACGCAGACAGGGGATGCAGCTTCACACCGAATGGAAGTCAGTTGAGATCGTAATTGAGGATGGAGCAGCAGGAGAAACAAGGAATGAATTCAGCGAAGAAGAGTTCGGCTCAGAAACATGGAAGTGTGTATGTGTGTGTGGGGACGACGCCTATTCACACACAACTTGCTAGATCCCCATTCATTGCATTGTGTCATTGCACCTGCAGCCCACCCTACCCAGCTGCCTGAGCAGAGGGACTATTGTACATAATACATACATCAGTGTTTCCCCTACCATTATACAAGCGGGTCGCCCTGCCCCGTAAACAGGACAGGACCAAGCACTCCACCTACCGAAACGAACTGCGCGCACTGGGGCTGAAAGAGTATATAATTTGTAAACTCGGCATTAACATAATAAAACCCGAGTAGAACTCGAGTATTTGATGATGTCATAGATCTCAAGATACAAAAACAAATAAATAAATAAATAAAACCGCAAACAAAGGTAATTATTTACAAAAAAAGACCCAACAAAACATTTGGAGCGTATATTATGCTCCTACCATTTATCATACTGCAAATAAGTCAGGAAAAACTAAACTATTAGTTATTTCAATAGCTGCCCACTGCACCACCTGGTGGTGGATGGGTTAAATGCAGAGACTAATTTCGCCATTGTATGGAAACATACAGTGCTGACATTGTGATGACATTATTATTATTATTAAACTGCAAATGTGAAGAAACGTGCAGCACGTCAAAAACAAAACTTAAAACAGTGGGGGGGGGGGGGGGGTCGACCACCCAGCACCACCGCAAGCTGTGGTGCACATTAAGTTTAGTTTTAGAGATTAATATGTTTATAGATTTTTTTTTATAGGTTTAGAGATTAATATTTTTGCCTTTTTTTTTGTGAAACAAGGTCAGAGGAAGCTGGTTCTGGTTCGGTGGATTGGACCCAGTGTTACACCATATTCTGTGACCTGCAACAGTGCAACACCGCCCCCTACGGTCATACGGTGGTCACATAATATGACGTCACTACGGATACTCGACGTTGCATTTTTAACCTCGATAGATGTCCTAGCAATCGATGTGTAGATTACTCGAGTACTCTGTTAATGCCCTAGCGCGCAACAGAGCTTTGAAGTGAATATATTTGAAACACAAAGAGGGGAAGAGCAAGAGAGAGAGAGGGACAGACACCTTATCTTGCTCTCTACACTTTTTTTTAAATTAAAAATACTTAAAAAATACTGTGAAGACATCATGTTAGAATCTGCCTCACCGGCCATGAACTCCACCACACAGATGATGACAGTGTCTCGGTCTATATGTGAATGTGGAATGAAAATAAATTTGTGTTGAATGTACATACTTTATATGTGTTATATGCATGTAATGTGTGTGCATGTTCTGCAAAATACAATGTGTCAGATTATACCTTTGTCGCCCTCATGAATTATTTTCTGCAGTATCTAACGCGTTTTCAAAAATTTTATTAGAATGAACAGCACTGACATTTTGACTAGTTTAATATGGTGTGCTGCAGGTTAGTTCAGGTCATTGTTTAATAACCTGCTTTATCCCATAAAATACCAAAATGTCAGTGAGCTTTCATAGCTGAGAATCTTGGTATCATACCTGGGTTCTCTTGTAGTCACAGAGGTACTCCACCTCGTACTCATTAACATTGGCTCTGTTCACTCCGAGCTCATGGCAATATAGCTTCTCTGTGCGACACAATGCTTCCAGCTCATCCAAAGGCAGCTTACAAGGAAGACTGCAGTCTTCCTGCAGGATGAAAGAATACACACTGCAGGATGGGACACTGGACTCTGAAACATTGCAGGATGGGAGAATGGAATCTGTGACACCGCAGGATGGGACACTGGAATCTGAGTCACCGCAGGATGGGAGACTGGAATCTGTGACACCGCAGGATGGGAGA